CGCCCTGAACACATGTACATGCTGACATTCACCCACAGTCATAGCGCCACCTGCTGGCAACAGGAAGTGACTTTTAACGAAGCAGCCCCCGCCGCACGTTTACCTACGTGCACGAATTTTCTGTGGTACGTGTATCTTGTCCAGACGCACAAAAAAGCCTCTTGGAGCGATGCCCTAAAATCAACAGGAAGTCGGCCATTTTGAATTTTACGTCAAATTTTGGATGATTTACACACTTCGTACTTTAACGAACTCCTCCTAGGGATTTAGTCCGACCGACCTCAAATTTTGCTGTGCCTTCTAAAGGCATTGAAGATGAAAAGTTGTGCTATTTGCAAGTTTTCGTCAATGGGCGTGTCCGTGGCGTGGCGTCAAAGATCAACTCTTCGCCATGACACGGAAGTTGTCGTAACTTCAGTGTACATGCTCACATCTGGACCAAACTGTACATGTAGGATGAGAGTCCCGCCCTGAACACATGTACATGCTGACATTCACAGACAGTCATAGCGCCACCTGCTGGCAACAGGAAGTGACTTTTAACGAAGCAGCCCCCGCCGCACGTTTTACCTACGTGCACGAATTTTCTGTGGTACGTGTATCTTGTCCAGACGCACAAAAAAGCCTCTTGGAGCGATGCCCTAAAATCAACAGGAAGTCGGCCATTTTGAATTTTACGTCAAATTTTGGATGATTTACACACTTCGTACTTTAACGAACTCCTCCTAGGGATTTAGTCCGACCGACTTCAAATTTGTGCTGTGCCTTCTAAAGGCATTGAAGATGAAAAGTTGTGCTATTTGCGAGTTTTCGTCAATGGGTGTGTCCGTGGCGTGGCGTCAGAGATCAAGTCTTCGCCATGACACAGGAAGTTGTTGTAACTTCAGTGTACATGCTCACATCTGAACCAAACTTTACGTGCTTGATAACTCTCCCACCCCGCTATGGAGGACCGATCCTGACACAGTCAGAAATAAATACAGAAATAAATAAATGCTCAATAAATAAATAAGCATCCAATTAAATACACAAAAAAATAAGTAAATAAATAAATGTAGGTAGTAATTAAATTATACAAGGAGACATAAATGTATATATTTTAATTAGTGCCTTTACTTATTCACCTTTGTTATAATTACCTTATTTGTTTATTCAACTTTATTTATTACTAATTTTTTTAATGTATTTATTTATGTGTGTTTTAATATTTTTGTCTGTTTTATTCTTCCTTTGTATTTATTTACCTTATTTATTTTCACCCATGGTATTTATTTCTGCCTGTCTTAAATTTTTGTATGCATTTCTGCCTCATTATGCAAATGAGGAGGGGCTGTGTCTCAAGGGGTCATCTTCTCTGCTATTGGTGGACCAGTCAGACAGGAGAGCTCCTACTCTGCCTGCAGACATCAACGATCTTGCCCCTCACACAGTCAGATGGCTTCCTTCAGTGCGCTGAGGTGTTTAACAACTCTGAAGACAATACTACCAGCAATGTCTTCCTTCTCTTTTCACGTAGAAGCCCGACAGACAGTGCTTTCAGTTTGCTGCATGCATGGACACAGAACTGCGGTATAGGGAGAAGCACACGGTCAGCTGGCTGCAGCTAAATCTGGAGTGCACTCGTATTCAATTCTGTATGGTAAATTCAGTTTTAACGGAGCAGAGCGAGCTGACAGGCAGAGTTAGAGACTTTTTCTGTCTGTTTCTCTCTTTACAAAGACGCATGTTGCAGTCAGAGTCTTCTCTGAGATGCGAGCACGACATACAACACAATTTATCAAATTACACAACGGATATACAGTATGAAAATAAGATTGATTGGATTATACTCACAGGAAGTATAAAACCTCTTACATGGGTCTATTAAAAGTAAAGTAACACAAAAATGTCAGGGAAATTACTTTACTTAGATTTAAGTACTGCAGTTGTACATTTGAAATACCTTCCTACCTTTCTGATAGGAAGCCTTCTTGAGGTGGTATAAAACATTTCTTCTTATATTCTGATTTGAGTTGTGGACAACTATGACCACATGAATTAAAAAAACATTTCACTGCCCAAGTCAGCTATAACACAAGTCTTGATCATCAGACTACATGCTGTACAGTATTTGTGGACAGATTTTGTCCCAGGATTTATTATGCATTTCTTCTTCTTCGTTGCATGATTTAGAATAATAAGGTGAGAAATGGGTCTATTCTGAGTTCATCCTGCACTGCAGCAGCTAATAAAGTCCATTTAATCCCAAAAACGCTTTTCTTTTAGGCAGGCTGGAGCAGAAAACAACTCACCTTTCTCAAGTTGTACAGTAATGTCACATGTGTATGAAGGTGGATCAAACAAGCTAATCTTAAATGTCAAAGTAGAGAGGAGCCTAGTAGGCCTATTTATTTTCATTCATTACACAATATGAATAAGCTATGCAGACAGTTGTAAAGAAAGAACATCTTTTTCTTCTGTTCTCTACTTGTTATAGTTACACAGTATTAGGGGTGTGGGCTGTATTAAAAGTATCCACTGTTCTCCCATGCTCTAACACACAGTAACGATGAAATGTGTGCTGTTCTCACATTCTTCCTCTGTATGTACACATAAACAACAAGGCAGGGAAATATAAAAGGAATTTATTTTATTGTTTGGGTACATTATTGTTCAGTGTACATGCTCACATCTGAAACAAACTTTACGTGCTTGATAACTCTCCCACCCCGCAGACATCTACACACCAATACCGATTTATATTCATAGCGGCAAGTGCTATGTAGCTCCACGTAGGGGACACAGGAAGTGACATATAGCACCTTCATGCGGCGTCGGAACCGCGTAGGAAATTCACAGCTGCACCGGCAGAGCTCCAGAATGTGCAACTCGGCCGGCTCACGCGCGGACGCGCTACTAGTGCGAGGGCCCGCCCAACGCTGCTTGCAGCTTTTTTTAATTATTTTTAATCAATTAATTATTTAAAAAAAGTTTTTGTCTATTAATATATACACACACATGTTACTGTTTCATTTATTTATTTTATTTTGTTATTTTTTAACACACACACACACACACACACACACACACCACACACACACACTTAATGTTTTATTTATTTATTTTATTTAATTACTTGTTTAATGAAATGTATGGGGTTGATTGTTCTTATGTTGTATGTATGATACTTTGGCAATATTGTTGTTACATTCATGCCAATGAATCTAATTTGAATTGAAACAGAGAGAGAGAGAGACGCGCACGCATCGGAAACTCCAAAGTCTCATCTTCTGACCTGATAGCCTACTTAGATTTTTTTCCCAATAAATATATTTGTTTGACAGGGAATCTGTTGCAAACAGGAATAAACATACTGTATATAATTTATTAAAAAACAATAACAAGCATCCCAGAAAAAAGGACACTTTCTCTTGAGGAAGGAAAGGGCAGGGGCTGAAGCCGCTTTTGATGTCTATGTGTGCACGTGCCTGCTAATAGGCGGACCGCGGTCTGGATCCATACCTAGCCGCCGTCCTCTCCGGACAGCCAACCTACAGCCGATTTATTATTGAGACCTACCTGCCTCGTGACGGAGCATTTCTACTTCAACCCGCACAGCTTTTCTAGCATTTACTGTACTTTTAATCAAGAATGTACAGATGTACATTCTTCCCACAGGCAGTTACAAAACCAGTTTATCATAAAATTGGACTTCCAACACTTCAAGCTACACTTTATTTCATTATTTCAAAAAAATTAGGCACTTTACATAGTTTAAAATATATTATTAGAATAGTTAGTATTTATTATCCCTCCGGTTTGATATGAAACTGAATATTGGTGAAATATTGTCAGTTGTTGACTAAAAACATACAGTATATGTTGATACAACTATACGTTATGGGCCGCCCTAAATGAAGTTAGTTGTTATGATGTTCCGGACCTTTGCTTCGGGAAATTTTCTCTAACTGGACATTTTTGAATTCTAATTGAATACCCCTGCTCTACAGTATTTAAAGGGGTGAGGCTTTCTGTGGATAGGGCATTGGCTACCAACATCTGGCCTAGGGCTGGGAGTCTCTGTGGTGTCAGAGTCAGAAGTAGAAGAGACCTCTGAGCAGCGTCCATCTGAGGTTTTTCTAATAATAGATGGTTTTCTTTCTGAACGAAGGCTGTGCAGGCACGTGCATCGAACAATTTATCCCGTGCTTTAGCTAAGCTAGAAGGCGACTCTTTTGTGCTTAAGCCAGAGACACCAGCTACTGACCTGGTAACAAAAAAATCATCTGCTGGTGCAGCAATCTGCTGTTAAGTAATAAATTGTTGTCCATCTTGTGGCTTGAACAACTGGAAAGGCTAATGGAGAGTCCTGTCATGAATTTGGCTGATGTGTTGAACCTGCTGTGATGCAGCATTCTGGCACGTAGCGTTTATTGAGGCACACATCACCACATAGCTAAAGACTGTTGATTAACTTGACGGAAAGTAGCACTAGATGGCTTCAATGACAAAGGAGCTTAAAGTTGGTTATCAAAGTGCACTTGTACGTCCATTTATTGAAGACACAGCACACAATGTGGACAAGTTGTTGAAGTGTGAAACTGTAAATAATGCAAAAGTGACTATGAAATATGATCAAAAAGTGGTGGGGCATCGAGTACAGGAGACAGGCAGGATGTCCTAAACCAATGAGCATTAACATTAAACATTAAGTTAGTGAAACAGCTGGACGATGTTCTGTGGCTGCAGTAACGACCTCACATCAGCACATACAGATATTTGTTCTTCTTTTTTTATTTCATTAAATAAAAGTTAAACGTTAACAAATGTTGAGGAATGATGATAGAAAGTGAAAGACAGCAGTTTGTGATTTGATATGATTGTGGGTAAATTATAGGTACACTGTGTTTGTGTGAACTTCACCTCACAGCTTTAGTGATGTCACTGAACAATGTTAGGTAGATATTAAAAACCTGCTCCCTTTAATAACCTGATCTCTCAAACAGGTTTCACTCTGAAGAATGGAAGATTTCAACATTAACAGCAGCTCACAGAACCAAAGCTACGATTACAGCAACACCACCTCCAAATACCACATTGACCCTGTAGAAGTGGTGACATGCATAATTATTGCTGTCGGCCTTCCTCTGACCATGGTGGCCATCTATTCTCTTTATTCTATGGTATGTACATTCTGACATTCTGAGAGTTATGGGTCCAAGGCCGAATGGGGAGGGAACCCGCGAATGCAAGGCATTGCGGTTCCCAGTACCAGCGGAGCTGGGAACCCTATTGTAATCGCTCAGATTTTTATTACTTTCATTCTTCCGTGAATTTTTGCCTAATTCCACTACTGCAGCCCAGACGGTAAGGGCTAGGGACGCGAAACTCACAGGGTAGGTTCAGGCCCATGAGACTACGGTATGCGAAAAAATTCGCCGACTTCAACCACTAGGGGGCGCTACAAGCAAGGTCCAAAGTTTGGCACATTCAAATCGCTTTAACTCCCGCATAGAGTGGCGGATATCAAAAACCTTATATCCACGCGTTCGGGGGATCGAGCTGAATCTCGTGGTAAATGCCACGCCCATTTCTGACTAGACTTTTTGACTACATGGCGAAAACTGAAAACCCTATTTTAATTAATTAACGCTTCATATCTGTGGCTGAAAAACTGCTGCAGAAGCTGCAGGAAATCTGGCCTTTAGTCTTGTTCCTGCACTGATTGGCCAGTGGGTCATATCTGAGATTTCTGTTGGATGAAAAAGTCAGAAATGGCTCTGACTGCAGCTGCTGGGCAGAGCAAGATGACAGATTTGGGAGGAGGTGGACTTCACAACATGTTTCCAACTGCTTGTTGACTTTTACCAATGTTTTCCTGCAGGTGAGAAGAGATCAAGTTGCTCCCATCTACGTCATCAACCTCCTCATTACTGACTTGATTCAGTTCTGCTACATGATCGTTGAGGTGGCACCACCTGAGAATCCAAAGATTATATTCCGAAACATCTACCTCTCTGCTCTGATGGCCAGTATTTGCTTCATGGTCTGCATCTCCCTGGAAAGGTATCTATCTGTCTATCCAGTATGTGTGGAGCTCCTTCTGTGTCTGAACATTATATTAGTTTATAACTCTGAAGCTCCTCAAAGACTTTGTGTCCATCTTGTATTACAGGTATTTGGTCATCGCCCACCCACTGTGGTACCGCTTCAGACGAACCATCAAGACCTCTGTGGTGGTCTGTGTCCTGGTCTGGGTCCTTTCTCCTGTCTGTGTTGTCTGTTTCTATTTCACTGATGTCAGATACATACTCTTCATCATCATCCTCCTCCTTCCCTTCCCTCTGTTAATATTCTCCCTGGTTGGGACCCTCAAAGCCCTGTCTGCTTCCATCTCGGTCCCCTCTGATGAAAAACGACGAATTGTGGGAATTTTGGTTCTGGTGCTGCTTATTTACACTCTGCTGTTCCTGCCCAGCATCATTTTGTTGCTGGAAGAACACTATGACCTGACCCTTGACCTCCTGTCTACCATCTTCCTCAGTCTGAGTCCTCTTGCAGACTCAGTCCTGTATGTCTTCATGAGGAAAGGGTTCATAGACAAGCTTTTGGCCTCTGTGTGTTGCTGCAGAATGGACAGCAATGATATCAGCAGTCCATCAGTATGAATGATGACAACATTTCCCCAGTCAGCTTCATGTAGGCAGAGAAAGAGGGAGAGAGAGAAAGGGGAGGAAACAGGAGGAGAAATGGAGGCCAATAGAAAGGATAGAGACGAGACAGATCCTGTCATCTACTGAGACCATTTCCAATAAGACACCTAACTGTAGAGAGCAGGAAGCACTGTTTGGACTCTGCTGTGGGAGAAGTGGCTGCTGGGAAATGTTTTGGTCAACTTGCTCTGGTTCACTGTGATGGCTTCAACACATGGAAATATAATGTGTTTTATTAGTTTGGAGCTGGAAGTTGATGTCTGTCATTATTCTCCTTTAATCCCAGAAGCAAAGCAGATATTATTTTAGATGAACTGAGCTTTATTGGTTTATTATCACTGAACATAAATACACTGAAAAATACTTTTGTGATTACCTGAGGTCACGTTTCCTGATCTGAGCTACAAACTGGTCCCAGGCGTCCATGTTCCTCTTGGTGAGCCATGTTGCCAGTTTAACTTGCCCTCATAAGTTTTCAAAATAAGAGCCTTCGCTTCATGTACACAGTTTAACCTGTTTTATTTGGTGAAAACATTTGGATTCATTGATCCTCTGTATTCATTTTCTTTAGGAATTTTAATCTTCTTCATCTTTGTTTTATATTCTTGTTTTAGTTATTTATTTTATATCATTTATATCATTTAATTGATCACTTTTACAACCTCTGTCTGACCACACCTGTCCTGTGATCTGAGCCTGGAGAGGATCTCTGTTCCCCAAAACTAGACTGTGTAAATGATAATCATCCCTTTGCTCAGGGCCAGACGCCCCAAGCTGCCCTAGGCACCAGCTGATTTTCTGTTGTGGTTCTTCTCTTTTATTAATAAATTCTTCAAAGACAACAGTTTGTTGTAACTCAATTATTTGCTCAGTCCCTCACCAGCAAGATCCAATTTCCACGTCAATTGACAGAGTAACGACCACGTATCAGAAGGGAGTACGACACAGGAAGGAAACAGCAGCCGGTTCACAAAGAGTTTCTATAAGTTCTCCCAATATTCTGTCAAAGTTGCAGAACTTGTGCAACTAACAATGTGGGGAGGGCTATTCAGAGTCCACAGGTGGCACATCCACCTCCAGACAACCCTTTTGATCATCTGCAGGTGGATTTCATTGAACTGACACCGTATGGGGGAAGGACATGTTGTCTCGTCATGGTATTTGTGTTTTCTAAATGGGTAGAGGCATTTCCAGCATCTAAGCAGGACGCAGCAGCAGTTGCATCCCAAAGGCAGAAACAGAAAAGGATTGTGGTGAAGGATTTCAGGAGAAAGAACTGGAGGCTCGCAGGTGGAACAGCTGCTGTCTGATACTGCTCAACAGAAACAACAGTGAAGGTGGCAGAAAGAGGATTCACTTCGCCCTGCAAACCAGTGCCGGAGCAACCGGACGGCCTCAAACCAGGTGAAGATTGAGATCAGTGAGTGAACTGAGCTTTCCCCGACTTGTCTTCCTTGGGAGGGAGTGGGGTGTCCCGAGGGTCCCTGAGACCACGTAGAACCACTAGACTCCCAAACACTCGCAGGCACACTGAGTACGGGGGGAGGCACGGTGACACATCTGATCAGATATGACACCAACGACAAAAAGAAGATGCTGGAGGGGTGACGGGCCGAGAGAACAGGGAGGCGTGGTTCTGCTCAGTCTCCTAATCGTCCTGTCATCACTTCCAATACTGAAGACATCTGAGTCAAGCATTACCCAAGAAGAGTTGCAGGCCAGAGGAGGTGACACACATCCTCCCCAACAGCCCGTCTTGACTGAAAGACTACGTATTGTTTGTCACTTCATTGGAATAGATTGTTGTAAGTACGTCCCGGATGTCTCAGACAACATGACTCATCTAACATCTGAATGATCTGCTGCACGAAGAGAAAAACCAGGACTTACAGGAAGAGGGGACATGTAGTGATGGCTGACTGCAGGAGGATGGAAGACTGAAATCTCTGTTCATCATTATTGGAGCCTTTCTCCTCCCGGCATGTTGTGTGATCCCGTCTAGATCTATACTTGCTACAGCCATAGTTAGTCCTTTATGACAACTGAACTGAATGATGGATCATTTAGTGGCCCGTAGCAGAAGAAGGATGACTCACAAGAAGTTCTGGCAGCGACGTCAGTGTGTGTGAGTCACAGTCTGTGAGTGTTAGACAGAGAGCTCGTTATTCCCATAGCGCAGGTTTACTAAAACAATTATCCTGAATGTGCTTCTAACTTTTAGGATACGTAACGCTGTTATTCTACAATGGGCCTAATGAAATGATTTAAATGATCATTGTCTTGTTGTTTGTTGTGTTTCGATCTGTAAAGAAATAAAGCAATTGTGATATTAATAAATGGATTCCCATGACTTTTTTTGTGTGCTTGCTTCAGGTGTTTATTTGAAAACAAGAATTGCCGTCACATTATTCATACAAGTTAAAATTCTGTTACAGTAATCTAAACGAGAAGAAATAAAACATGAATGATCGTCTCCAGTTCATGTTCAGGCGTGCACTTAAATACATGTCATGTGTGAACTTATCTTTGACTTCAGTCTCTCATGTGGACTCCTTTGTGGACAGGCTTTGTTCCTCCCATTGCTCCTGGTTTTTGTGAGCCCGCTGTGTGGTTTAGATATTCAGTCTCACTGAGCTGATACTTTGCCTTAAGTCCATTCTCAGGGGAAAAATGACTTTTATTTTCCCACAGAGGTCAGTTATTGCCTATATAATAATATATAATAATAATCCTTATTTGTAGAGCACTTTTCAAAAACAAGTTACAAAGTGCTTTAACAAGTGTAAAGAATAATACAAAAAAGAATATATATATGTGCTGTATATGTGGCCTATATGTTTGTCTTTGAGCAACTCAGTGAATTAAAAGCTGACAAATGAAGGTTCAACAAAATCTCTGCTGGTTAACAAATCTCTGTTGTCTATATGAACATAAAGCCCAACCTGCTGTTACCAGGGAGGCATCCTGCACTTTCTGACCAAATGACCATAATATTTCCCTCTTTGGCCCATTGGAACTTGTCAGGACCAAACGTCTTTAATCCGTGTTAATAAGTCTTTGGGCTGAGAGTGCGGTCAGTACCACAAACACTATCTTTATTTCTCAAAACACAATAATCTTACTGCAGTAGTTCAGAGAGAATATTACAGACGAAATCAACAAGACATTCCTCCACTTTGACTGAGCCTGTGGGACTTTCAGCAGGACATCAGTGAGCTGTTTTACTGCTCGGACTGCTGCTATATTTCCTGTAAACCACCAGATGGCAGTGTGCCGGCTGAGTTCACTGCCCACAAGCTGCATGAAGCTCTGCTCAGCCCACACTGGTTCTGATGGTCCAGGTCAGTCTGCTTTAGCTAGTTACTATAAAACAAAGAAGAAAAAGGCCCATAAACAGCTGTTGAACCTGGAGACAATAGTACCTAATTATCTAAAGTGCAGACTGTAAATAAGAGTAAGAAGTCTGTGTGATGGACAGTGATAACAGCCAATAAGATGCTCTGATCTGATGTGATGTGATAGGTTGGTCTCAATAAAGTTTGTCTTCCTGATTGTCGGAAATTCGATGCTTTGATGGGCGGAGCCTGATTCGACTAAATCTCACAGTGGAAGCTTCGCAGCGAAACAAGCATCACGCCATTTTGGCGATATGGGGGTGATTTAACACAGAACTACCAGGTTTCTCCCAATAAGTTAATATACAGCCTGTTACAGTAAACATTTCAACGTTTAATGCTGTAAAAAGAATAAAACTTTTAATAAATGTTTTTAAATGTGTGAATAAATCCTAAACTGTAACCCTAACCCTGGCTCATCAGTGCACACGTGTAGGCGTAGCCTGAATATGTGTAGTTGAACATTTTAAAACCCGCAGTGCGTTTCTCTATGGGGGTCTTATCCAGGGACCTCCAGCTGCCCTGAGGAGAAGAGCCTGGTGCAAACACTTCTGACCACCTGGATTCTTTCAGTTCTGCCAGCGCAGCCAGGTCGAGGACTTTAACACGTGTGATTTTGCAGCCATCAAAGTAATCTGGCCAGAAATAATTGCTAGCTACCGCCTCTGGCCCGACGGCATGCCAATGGTGGTCATAACCTCAACTTTTTTTCAGGAAAGTAAGATCAGTCCCAGTGGACATTCTAATAAGCTACCTGCTAGTGAAATCAGTGTGCACAGATGCACTCACTGTCACAAAGTTAACAAAAATGTGAGAAGTAAACCAAACTT